AACGCTCTGCCCCGAGGTCAGAATCCGGGTCCCCCAAGAAGGTCCCCCTCCAGGGACATCCTTTGTGGATGCTGTGTGCTTTCAAGGCGTCAGTCTCCCCCCAGGGTCTGGGCTGGCGATGGCCACTACTCTTTTCAGCTGTGCCCTGGGTTATACGAGACTGGCTTCCTGGTAACTGGTGCTGTGCCTCTGATTTGTCGTGTACCGCCAGCAAAATGCAATGCTTGTCTTTTCCCCCCACCGCGTGGATTTTCTGAGATGTTCTGAGATGCGGCTCGGAGTACAACCAGCCACCAGAGGGAACTGCCCCAGCGTTAACCTTAGAGACAGGCTGAGTGACAAGTATGATTAATCAGAGTAAATAACAGCAAAAATTATATTTACTGGGAGTTAGCTCACCAGAAGGAAAGCACGGCACCATGTGACACACTGGGTCAGCTCTCCGGTGGGCGTAAGTCAGTGCAGCTCTGTAGGGGTTAGCAGATTTGTACTACATAGCTTCACGTAGAGCTTTGCCTTTCCCTTAAACTCTCCCCTTCCAGAAAACTATTCCTTTTTGAAAAAAAAAGAAAAAAAAGTCCCTTAGTTGATGTCCAGGCAACTTCAAAGGACCAGAGCTGGATTCACCCTGGGATGGTCAGAGAGACGGGGACCCGAGTGCCACGCCAGTGCAGCTCTGCGGCAGGCAGGACAAGAGCGGCTCTGCTGGTACCTGCTCGGGCACAGTTCATGGCTGGTGGTGAGGAACAAATGATTAGGGGTGGTCTGTATCTACATGATGAAAAATAACTAGCTTGCAGAGACAAACATGGCTGCCAGTAACGTCAGGCTGCTAGGAAGAGCCCCTCTCCCTTCCAGCAAGGTAACGAATTAACTGGGCTACGCGGCTGTTGCAAGCAAAGTCACAAGGCTGCTTGCTGAGCACAGCCTGTGTGCTTGGTGACAGTGACATATGGGAGGCAATTAAATAACTGTGGTTACGTCCAGGTTAGTGAGAAAACAGATCCCCTTATGAACTGGCTTTCTACCGTGGGTCTGGTGCGAAGGTGGACACCCAGCCGCGGGTTGGAGAGGAGACGCGCTGGTGTCCTGCTGCGTTTGCAAGCTTCTTGCGCACGTCTGCCTACGGATTTCACCATGGGGGAGAACCCCACCCTGCCCTGGCCCTGCAGAGCCCTCGCCATTCCCCGACTGGTGCGGCGGTTGGTTCTCTAACAAAGGGTTATTTGGTTTTACAGCGACGGCTAAAGCCTGGATGTGTGATTTACCATCCCAGAGCTTCTGAGCTCAGCTGTTTCCCCAAGCCAAGCCCACCCAACCAGCTCCAATTCTCCTGCTGTAGGTGGACGCGTTCAGCGTTCGGGAGTGACATGGAGCTGAACAAATCCCCCCCTCG